CACCACTGTACTGAATGGCAAACCAAAGTTGATTAGCGTGGAAACACAGCATGCAAAGAAACATCCAGGTCCTCTTCCCGCTGGGCCTTTTTTCTTAGCATTATGAAGGGAAAAACGGCAGGCAGATGGATGCTGGGAAGTGGGCTGCTCCCAGTGTCAGGCATATGCAATAAGCTGGAAGCGCCTCGGTTGAATTTTCCAGCTGTGAAAGTATTCTCTAGTTAGATACCAACATGCACAAAATAAAATAAAGTTGTGAGTATTACAGGCAAATATCTGAAAATCAATGATCTTAGCAAGGAGGCTTGCTTTTGTTACAGACTGGCAGCACAGTGCATAGCCTGGTTTCATCCTTCATCTGTCTGAAGTGGGAGAGAAGCATTCCACATCAGCAGGGGCAAGCATGGCAGGTAAGGGACTCCACGATGAAGTCCAAGATAGATGGTGGGACCCACTGTGCATAGTAGGCAGCACTCCTCGTTACAAGTGTCAGAGCCATTTGCTTGGGCTTTCAGGTAAACTGAAAACCAACCTATTGCCGAAGAGTGGATCCCAATGCCTTGCAACCCTGTGGGATTGAGTACATGTGCTCTGTAGGGTTTCCTCTCAGCTGAATCTTTACAGAGCAGATTGTCATGTCTTTCTCCCACCAAGCAGCTGGTAGGTTTGAACTGGCAACCTTTCAATTAGCAGCTGAGTGCTAAACCACTGTGTCACCAGATCTCTTGACCTCCAGCTAGGCTCTGTGAAATGAAGATAGTGCAACAATCCAACCATGGATTTGAAATCTGAGAACAAAAGAAACTGAAGTGTATCACTGACTTACTCCTCTCTTATCTCTATGAAGTAAGTGATCAGAACTAAAAATGCCAATTCTGAGAGCACCATGCTTAGTAAAGTAGAAGGGCAGAGAAAAAGAGGAAGACCCTGGACACCAGGGGCTGATACAGTGGTTACCCCAGTGGGCTCAAACATGAACATGATTATCAGGCTGGTGCAGGACTAGCAGTGTTTCATTCTGTTGTGCACAGGGATGTTATGAGTCAGAACTGACTGGCCGGCACCTATCAAAAGCATATGGTTACTACCTTAAGGAGGTAAAACACTGTCTGGCATATAGATGATTGTTAAAGAATAGGAATTGAGATTGTTTTTTTAAATCTACCAAATTTCAGAATCCACAGGCAGATCTTTTTCCATTCAATTATTTGGTGGTGGTGGTGGCTACAGGTACTGGAGAGGGGTGAGACTAGTATTTACAGGGAAATAAAAATTGGGTGCAAAGAGGTTAAGTGACTTGCTCAAGGTCATATAATCAGTCATAGGCAGGGCCAAGAATAGAAGCTGAGACCGCTGACTCCTCTTCTGCTCGCACTCCTTCAGAACACGCTTCCTGTTTGATGACTGAATCGGCACGGGTCAGATTCACACTGATCCCAGCAGGAGCTTCTTGCTTGAATAAGAGCCAGCTTTGAAGAAGAAAAATTCAACAAATGTCCCAAGTTTGGCTGTTCCCATTAGAAAGCCATTACTTAATAAAAAAAATCATAGAAAACCTCGGTGGCAAAGAAAAATTTAATATTGATCTCGCTCTTTCTCCTTTGAGCACCAGAGTTTCAGGGCCTTTCCCGCTCTGACTTCCATCCACTGCACAACCACTGCCACTCCACCAACCCCTGCACGTCCTCCACCCCCCCAACTATTTATTACTTCTCAGCAGGCTCTGGAAGGGGTAGAGAAGGAGCCAATCTGTGATGGAGTGAACACAAGATCTCCCATAATAGCATAGAGAGGATAGAAAATTGCAGCCAAAAGTGTAAATTGCCTTTTTTTTTTTTTTTGCTTAGGAAAAAAAAAAACCACTCTAGGCTTCAAAGGCAGCCTTTTAAAAGATAATTCCACAGCGGTTAATAGCCTTATTCTACATATTACGACTCTTTTTCCATGCATGCCCTCCAAGAAGCTTGTTCTCTCTCTGACTGGCTGTCATGGACGTGCAGTGCGCACTGCCCGTGGAGAGCTAAGAGGCGGCTACTCTGCGCGGGCAGAGAAAGGCTGGCTTGGCTGCCCCCCTCCCAGCGAGTCTCAAAGCGGCTCTTCTGCTGCTGACCCTCAGAGGACATTGCTTGAGGGTGAAGGAATGAAGATATATCTCCTCATAACGACAGGCTCCATGTGCACAAAACAGAGGCCTGAGGAATTCAAAGTCAAAGCCAGTGAGATAACCCATGCTAGAGGAAGAAGACCAGTGTGCTCCTCTGAGGATGCTCTGGGCCTTCGGACATGGTCACAGAGAGGAAGGTGCTGCTCCTGGAGAGAATCCGAATGAGGTCACAGACCCTGAGGCCTAACTGCATACGTGCACAAGCTCTTACCACACGTCACGGCTGTGTGGTCGAGGGTAAGTTAATCTCTATGGGCATTAAGTCCTCATTTGACAAATGGGACGACAACTACATCATAAGGTTTGCATGGCGATTCGATGAGGGCACGTATCTATAAGGCACTTTGTAGGTAATAAGTTTTCAATAAGTGGTAGCTTTTAGTCACTGCAAATTAAGAGAACAACTGCACAATCAAATGTGAGGCGGGGACTAGACAATAGTTGGCCACCTTGTGTCGAAATTGGAAGGAAGAAAGAAGGAGATTGCAGCTGGTACGCAGAGTGGAAAACGAGTGCAGACAAACCCGTTCCAGGAGGGTGGAATTTCCTTCTTTGCTGCCACTGTGAAGACAGGTTGGCATCCAATCTTCCCTTCTGTGCCGACAGGGGGAGGTTCCCCAAGTGTAAAAAGACAAACAGAACTGGAATCTAGGTGGTCTAGCTAATGTTACTCTTTGATTCGCAGTCTCCAGATGATTTTTCTCTCCTTCATCTCCTGTGCAGAGACCCACGCTCCCTAACCCTCCCTTTCACATCAACCCCTCATTTAGTGCCATCAGCAACACAGAAGTCTTTAGAACAAAATTCTGTTTGGCTTGTTGAGATGGTAAAGTGTGTACCATACACGAGAGAAATTTCAGATCAAAGGCAATCTGCCCTGAAGTGTTAATTAGAATCAACTGAGCCAAATGGTAGTTCAACACAAACAAAATGAATGCAACCAACAAATAGGAATTTAACGGTTGAAAAGAAAACTTGACTCCTCTTCTCTCTTTCTGCCAAATTGGAACAGCTCTTCAAGTGCTCCTCATACCAAAAGAGGTGCTATGCCATCCCAGTCCAACAGAATCTCTGCTGCCATCCAGGGCAGCCTTGCTCAAAGGAAACAACTTGACATCTTGGCTGTTAATAAAGAAACTCAGTGCTTCACCACGGTCTTGTCACAATGACACAAAGGTATTGGCAATTAAATTCTAAAGCCACTATCTCAGGCGGAACAGTATCTTTAAGAAAGTCAATCTCTTTAAAAGGTCCTTGTATTTTTCTAATCAAGTGGCTCTGGCATGTGGTTGTACAGGCAAGAAAAGAGTGTTACGGGATGTACTTCAAGGCATAGTCTCATGAGAACTCTCTTCCTTGGAATGAAGGGGGCCCAAGGCTCTGAATGGCCTAAATTTTAAGGAGCTAGAACTAGTTTTAAAGAGTTCTGGTGGTACAATGATTCATGGCTTGGCTGCTAACTGAAAGGTTGGCAGTTCAAACCCACCAGCCACTCCTTGGGAGAAAGGCGTGGCAGTCTTCTCCTGTAATGATTACAGCCTAAGAAATCCTATGGGGCAGATCAGTTTTGCCTACAGGGTCACTGTGAGTTGGAATCAAATTGACATATTTTGGCTTTGGCTTTAGAGTTCAAACTGAGAGTAGAAGAGGTGGAATGCTAGGGAGACCATTTAATGACTGTGTCTTAACCTAAGGTCTGTGCAAAATGGTGAACTTGGCCCTCATCATCACCAATCTAGTGTAACTAACCTCACGGGCTCTAGTTCTGACCCACCTCCAATTAATTTTTTCACTCTGCAGGCATGGGAGACTTCTAAATGCAAATCTGCTCAGGTTAATGAATGTTTTAAAGTTCTTTAACAGCTTCCCACCACCTTCAGGACAGTTTCAACCCCTTAAAGAGGCTTCTAAAAACAAAATCACATTCCTGCCATGGAGTCCATGCTGACTCAGAGTGACCCTATAGGACACTATGTAGAACAGCCCCTGTGGGTTTCAGAGACTCTAAGGGAGTATAAAGCCCCATTCTTCTCTCTCAGAGGGGCTGCTGGTTTTGAACTGCTGACCTTGCAGTTAGCAGCCCAACGCAGAACCACTACCTTAACCAGGGCTCTTCTAAAGACAGTTGGGACCGGTATGAACATTGCATTTTACTTTGTGCACATGTCTCTCAATTGTGCTGGTGAAACAGCTGGAGCATTTCTGAAAGCCAGTTCTCCCTGCCTGAGCAGAATGGTGGGAAAAGCAAGGAAATCGAGGTAGAGGGCCACTGGTGCATTGGGCAATAAAGAAATGCAGTTTGACATTCCATCTAACTCTGGGAATACAGAAGCTCAAAGGCATATTTTTGCCTCTAATCAAAGTTGTGTACACCTCTGACCTAGGAGTCACTGTGTCTTGGGTCAGACTCAAAAGTGTTTCAGGTCAGAAATAAGGAATCCTGGATCCAGAGCCCATTAAAAAAGCAATCCAATTCCAATCAAGAAAGAACAAAGCCAAAGTTTATCTAGTCAGTCCACCTGATAGCCTAATTACCATTCAAATACAGTGCTGGCTCTTCTTCACAAGGTATTTTGAATGTGCCAAAGAACAAAGCGGAGTTACTGTCATTACATTCTTTAAAGTCTACCTTTATCTGAAGGATGCAGGCAGGAAATGACTTAGATGCCGAGGGAGATGGGAGCCTTACAGAAAAAGATCTTCAAAGCCCTGGCTTAAGGAGATCCCTTTTCTGTGCTGTTCCTTGGTTGGCCATATTTCACGGGGCATTAAAAGGCCACAAATGTCAGTCTCCTTCAATTCTGAGAACAGACAAGCTGCAATAATGTGTTCTTACCTGGGTCCTTCCTCGTCACCCTGAAAAACAAACAGAAATACACAGCATTAAAATCAGGATCAGCTGGAGACCAATTTAGATTTCAGTATTTTCTCTCTCCTTTCCCAGACTGAAAGCAAGGCACGTGCATTTATTCTAACAGACAAACCAGTAGACATCCAAGGGCTAAGACAAGTGTTGATATAATCCAATGTCCAACCTGCTCAGCAGAGATTAGCTGATAATTTGCCCTTGCGAGTACTGAAGTAAAAGCACAGACCCAGGAGGCCTAACTAATAGCTCTGCCTTTTTATTTGTATGGCTGGCCGTATGTAGTTCTGAGCAAACTGAGAGCCCAAAATAGCAGCAGGTCTTAGGCAAAAGCCGACCAGGTCTCAAAGCGTCAAGCTGTTTCCTTCAAAGGCTCTTTTCCACCTTGGTCTGCCATTTTTCCTACAAAGATGCACACAAAAACTCTACTATATAGAACACTGTGGTGGAAAGGACACTGAACTGGACCTCAGGAAATTGAGATTCTAGGCCAAGTTCTCTATTTATTAGCTGTCTGGCCTTGGTCAAGCTTATTAACCTGGACCTTGATCACTATTGAGTGGCCCTAGTGGAACAGTGAGCTAATCCTTGAGCTAGTAATCACAAGGCTGGCAGTTCAAAACCACCAGCTGCTCCACAGGAGAAAGATGAAGCTATGTGCTCCCGTAGCAATGTACAGTCTAAGAAACCCTATGAGTAGTTCAATTTCGTCCTCATACAGTCCTTGAGTTGGAATAGGCTCAATGACAGTCTTTGTTTTAGGTTTTGATCAGTTTTCTCTATTGTAAAAGCATGGTTGTAGATTTTTGACAACCCACGCTGTTCTTCAGCTGAACAATGGCTTTTCTCCCTCATTTTTTGGCTAAACCAATTTGTGGGGATTATTTTCGCTGGTAATTCTCACAACTGGACCAAAAGGTAACATCGTAATAAGTTGAGTAGAGACCGAAGTTTTCCAGGCTTTCATTGTGATTGGAACCACAATCAATGCTCATAGCAGCAGCAGTCAAGGGATCAAAAGACACATGACACAGGGTAAGTCTGTCACACAAGATCTCTTTCAAGTGTTGAAGAATAAGCTTGTCACTTTGAAGACTAAGGTTCACCTGACCCAAGTCATGATATTTTCAATCACTTCATATGCATGTGAAAGTTGAATAAGGAAGACCAAAGAATTGTTGCATTTGGGTGCTGGGAAGAATATTGAAAGCACCAGGGGGTATTAAAAGGACAAACCACTCTGTTTCAGAGGAAGTATGGCCAGAAAGCTCCTCAGAGGCAAGGATGGCGAGACTTTGTCTCACGTACTTTGGACATGTTATCAGGAGAGACCCCAGACCCTCGAAGAGGACGTCACGCTTGGCAAAGGGCATTGAAGAAGATGAGATGGACTGACACCGGGGCTGCAGCAGTGGGCTCAAACCAAAGTACAATTGTGCGGGTGGTGCAGGACCGGGCAGTGTGTCGTTCTGTTGTTCATAGGGTCACCAAGAGTCAGAGATGACTAGAAGTCAATTAACAACAAGCACTGTTCTCTCAACCTTAGTCTGTGATCACAACATTTCCTCTGCGCCTCCTTCTGTAACCAAACGAGGCTTTTCAAATGACTCTCAAGTCTTTTCCAGGGGACCCACTCACCCTTGTGCTGACAGAGTACCTTTGACATCCTTCCCTTCAGTTTTAGGGTTCTCAATAGAGTATATAGCTCCTAGCTGTGGGCTACACCTCAGAGAATTACTTAATCCACTTGTTGTTAGTTTCTACTGATATTAAGTGAGCTCTGGAGTCAGGTACTCTGGCTTCAAATCTTGGCTCCATCCCTGATGTGTTGGGTTACTCTGTGGGAGTTCCTTTGCCTCTCTAAACCTTAATTTCCTATTGTGTAAAACAGGGTAGCTGTCCCTGCATCATAGAAAGAAAGCTAAAAGAAATAGTGTATATAAACATCAAGTGTGGTGACTGAGAAACAAGATGGACTTGGAAAAGGTTACTTTTATCAATAGGAGCCCTGACAGCATAGTGAATTATGCATTAAATGAACTGCAAACTGTCAAGTGGTTTGAAACTACCAATTGCTCTGAGGGAGCGATGAGACTGTCTACTCCTGTAAAGATTGAAAAGTACTGAAAACCCAAAAGGGAAGTTCTAGTTTGTCTTATAGGGTCATCACTATAGGTCAGAATCAACCACATGGCAGTAGGCTTTTGATTTGATCAATAGCAGTAGCAATTCAGTAGGATTTATTGATAAGATTGATGCTTTCGATTGGACTCTTGACTCCTGGTGACCCCAGGTAAAAAAGCATGAAACACTGCCCAGTATTCATACCTACCTGCATGTTCAAGTGCATCACTAAGGCTTTGCACCAATCCATCTCCCCAAACGAGGACAGCCCATTATGTCCTCCTCTGGCAACCGAGTCCTCCCGATGACAGGTCTAAAGCAAGCAGGCCGGACAATGTTCTGCTTTGGTTCTAAAATTATCATTGGCTAATTTTCTGAGACAGGAGCATTAGTGGCATAGCGGGTTACACACTGGGCTGTTACCCTTAGTAAGGTCAAGGCTTGAATCCACCAGGCGCTCCATAAAAGAAAGATGACGCTTACTGCTCCCATGAAGATGGACAGCCTTGGAAGCCCACAAGGGCAGTTCTGTCCCATCCTGTAGGTAGGTCTCTGTGAGTCAAAATTTACTCGATGGCAGTGAGGGGTTTTGTTGTTGTTGGTAGTTAAATTTCTAAAGTAGATTTGAGGTCCTTCTTTCTAGTCTGTCTAGTCTGGAAGTTCCTTTGAAACCTGTGCGCCGTGGGTGACCCTGCTGGTAGCTGAAATACCAGTAGTGTAACTTCTAGCATCATAGCAACACACAAGCCAAGACAAAATGACACAGGCTACGGATGACTTACTGAGAAGCTACTACAGGTAGAGGCTAAGGACAAGAACAACAGCCACCACAATGGAACCTCCCAGGATCTTCTAGGAGGAGCAGGGGAAATAGGCAGACAGAAAAATGAGTTAAGGTCTCTACCAAAGACATGACGGAATTCTTTGGGAGTCAGAGGGAAGGGTGAACACTGTCTGGACAGGCTGGGAGAGGTTCCAGAGAGAGAATGACATTTATTTTGACACTTGAGGGAAAAGTATGTTTTCCTGACAACAGAGAAAGTGGGATGGGTACTACACTGGAACAGAGTAAAGACAGAGAATTAAAGAAGTGGGGTGGGGGGTAAGGGGAATCACTCTTTGTTTAAGAAATGTTGAATTCTGTAAGCCACAGAAAATAACTGTGCATCTGTAGGGCAGGACAGAGCATGGTGGGACTGGTGGGGGTGGGTCTGGTGTCAGGGTCACGGGGTAAGAGGGGACATGGCTTAAGAGAGTGCCAGGGCACAAGTCTGGAAAGGACAGCTACGGTCAGAGAGGAGATTTAAATTAGATTATACACTGGAGGTTGACTAAGGGCATTTTCAGCAGACTGTTAAAGATCTGCGATAGTGGAGCAGAAACTAATTATCTGTACCCTAATGAGAGAGAAGTATGACGAGTGGGGGAGAGAAGGGATAGGAATGGGGAAGCTTTCTTTGCATTTTGATTGACTAGTATGTCTTATGGGAACTATAATCTAATAAGAAAAGTCATACAATTTAAATGTAATATGAGTTACATAACTATCAATGACAATTAAACCTCAATACAATTTTTCAATTATCTTTGGATGTTTAAACATAATTGTCTAGGAGAACCTTATGGGAAAAAGTAACCAAATGTTCTTCTGTGAATTAGAGCAAACCCTCTGGATCACAACTTCTGGTGCAATGGTTAAGAAATGGGCTTTCAGAGCTAGAGAAACATGACTTCACATTTGGGGTCATGAACTGCAACAGCAAGGCTTCTGACAATATACATAGCTTTTCCGAGGTTCAGTTTCCTCAGCTGCAAATGGAAATCCTCTTTCTATTGCATAGGGTAGCTGTGTGGCATAAAGTAAATGAGAAAAATGTGTGCAAAATAATGAGCAAGTGTGCAGTACATTACATCTTAACAAGTGGTGGCCATTATTGTACTTTCCCTAAATTGTAACTCTATAAAATCTCTAGAGGAGAGTGGAGAAGGACACAGAAGATGGGATAAAGGTTTGTGCTTTCTCTATTTCTGTTACTTGTAGACACATGGTTCTTTTCAGAGACCATAATCACAGTCAAAATGCACAGGAGGATGACCAGGTGAGAGATTTACTGTTGAAAGAATAAATACATGAATGAAAGAAAAAATACACACAGAAGAGCCTTTTCCATAGGTCAGTAGGCTGAGACTCCTGGCAAGAGGACAGACACATTACCCAGGCCCTTTACAACAAAGGCTCAAGAGACTGAATGACAACAGATATGCCTGATACTCCTAGAACCTTAGCCTTTAAAGGAAAAAGTAGTCATGGATTGAATAGGAGAAGCCTAGGAGAAGAAAGTGAACAAAAGTGGCAAGAGCAGGTGAACTGTCAGGCAGTTATTTTACACTTCTATAAGCAGCATTCAATGAGGCCAACAACCATTGATTTGTGCTCAGAAAGATGCGATCCTCCCCTTGTTTCTCCACACCTTCCTTATAACCTGAAGGGTGGCAAGCTCCCATGCTCACCCGCCCAGCAGCCGCTAAACCACCCCCCCCCACCCCCAGTCCCCACACCACGGCCGGCCCAGCCCTCAAGATTCAGCAGTTGCCTGGACACCAGCCCTGTGGCTAGTCATATGAACTCCATCGAGCAGAGTGCAGGGCTAGATGAAGGACCGACTCCAAACCACCCAAGGTGGGCAGGGAACGCTGCCAAAACCTGCGGCCCTGCACCTAGCTGTGCTCTGGGCTCAGAGGACTTCTTTTAGGAATAAGTCCCTAGTCTCAGGCACCTGCTGAGCTGACACAGACTGCTTCTGGATCAAGTGCCTGACACCACACCTTCAAGGTGGAAAGAATCTATACAAGGTCTAGGGTCCTG